ACCCTTACCCTAAGGCATGCATATTGACTTTTAATATAAACTGCTTATACTTTTAGGGAATTTAATTTGTATTGATCAAAAGAAATGAGCTAAAGTTAACAACTTTATTTTATTATAAGTAAAAGCATCAATTATGAGACGTTTTAAGTTCTGTTTCCTTCTAATGTTCTGATGCTCTTCAGGCTGGTGAGGAAAACCCAGTCATCACGCTGTACGTCGTGAACCTTAACGGCCCTCTGCACACCATCGAGATGAGGAGACCTGAAGATCCCAGGATCGGGTGAGTCATGAAAAATGCAGTTAGTCTCTGCTCAGTGAAACAACGTTTGTGGCATTTTCCAACCACAGATTTCCTCATGGTTCACTGAAATATTTAATTGCGTCAATGATAAATGTTCTTAGTTTTTATAGTAGTCTGGTTTCCTACATGCAGTGCTCATTTACAGTCAAACCAGCCCTCACAACATGCAGTTATCTCCAACTGTGGGTTATATGTTTCTTTGTTTTCTAACTCGCTCTCATCAAGACGGACACATTTCCTTCCCTCTCCCGTCTCCCTCCTGCCCGTTTTCTTCTCTCTGTCTTGTGTATCAGAGCTTCTATTTACACATCTTCCAAATCGTAAATTACTGACATGGATCTGGTCAGCTAGACTTTCAAAGCAATTAATAAAATATTTTCAACCAGGCGACAGGGTCCTGGAGAACCCTCACGCCCCACTGAGACGGCAGGATACGTCATGGATAAGTTGATGTGCCTTTCTGTATCGATTGGATTTACGATAGAAGGGCTTCTGCTTTTTGGCACCATCTATGTTATTGGCTATTAAAGAGGATGGCGGCAGCAGTTCTGGCCATGGCAAAGCTGCTGACCTTATGTGAAGGTTTGTTTCGTGCTTCGAGCACTCTGACTCAGCTGATTATCAACTCAACTGTGACTTATCTGAATCTGACTCCCCTGTTTGGCGCTGAAGCAGTCCAACTTATCAAATTCTCCTGGGATATGTGTAAACTAAGAAGGCTCTGCTCTATCCATCACCTGCTCAACACCCCACCTCCCCCCAAGAACTTTTCTAAACCCTTATCAGAGCTGTACTGGCTGACACCAACATCTAATCAGGACTATAGTGCTATCTGGAAGTGCTTCATGGACAAATTTCACCATCTTTTCATCAAATGCATATGTGATGTTTCAATAAATGAACAACAAAGTCCATGCTCAATTATCCATAAATGTGCTTGCTAGTAGAG